AAAAAAAAAAAAATGTGCACTAAGCAAAGCAGTAGTTTTCTATATAATCACATCACCTGTAGTACTGAGATACCCAAAAGTTAGTGAAGCTGGAGATAATAATATATGCATCTTCCTCACCACTATAAAGTGAGAAGTGATAATCTCAATAATAGTAATCAATTCTGCCTGCCTGTAAATCACCTTGATGATAAGAACAGCAGCACATAAAGCTGCTGAAGAAAACTTAAAGGATTTCTTTACCAGTTATTCCTTGCCTGTTCACTGCTGCAGTGGAAAGAACACTAATCCGAAATAGAAGAGATAGTTATGATTCTGATGTGAATCAGTTATCCAAATATACATTGGGTGATCACTTTGCCTCTCTCCAGTTGTTTCTGAAAAATAAAAGCTTGTGCTTTAAAACCAGTTAGATCTTTTACAAATCCCACCCCTACTACTAGTTAAGTATTCCCTTTAACTTTACTGTGCCTCAGTTTCCTCATCAAATAACAGGAGGCAAGTAAGTAATAAAATTTTTATAAAGATTTTGTATGGTATAGATTTTGCATAAGATTATGTAAATTATATGAACAGCTTATACATAATTGATGCTCCGAAAACAATCATATTATTCTTACTCCTATTTTTTTATAAAGATTTATTTATTTACGCAGACAAAACTGGAGTATAGGCCAGAGTTGTGGAGCAGTGAGAGGATTCACCAGAGACAGAGTGGGGAGCAGAACAGGCCAACTGACAAGTACACTGCTGAGGGGAGCAGCAGGCGGGTCAGAGAGGTCTGCTGTGCCATGTGGGTCACCTACAGGGCGGGATCGAATTCATGCTGAAGTGGCTTTAGCTTCTTAGTGTTGTACTTTAATCAGCTGCACCATCAGGGAATGTCCTCTTCCTCCTATTTTTAAGTAATCTATAAAGACTTTAAGCTTGTTACTGAATTATTGTTACTGAATTAACTAATTCAGACATTTTCCTATTTTGTTGTTATAATTACAACTTTAGAAGGTAAATGCATTTCAAAGAACTGATATTTACATATCTCATGTTTTTTATTATATCTGACACTTAGCATTTAATACAGTATCTTCAAACAAATATAGTTAAATTAACTATGTAACTTCCCAATTGATTAAAAATCTGGTACTATTGAGTCTTGAAATTATATTTTTGCTAATATGACTTCTGTCGTTTGTTTTCTACAGACACTCTTTACTATTGGTGAAAACTACCATCATTCATTTTTCCTCACTCCAATACTAAGAACAATACCAAGTAAGTAGAATATAGTAAAACTAGTCAGTTTTATAATAGTTCATGGAAATTTAATTGTACAGTGGTTGCCACACCTGTTCTGTTGTCAATAGAATGTTCAGTGTGTCCTCATACATAAGAAAAGGATTTTTTCCTTGAACGTTATATCCTGCACTTCTATATTAATAAGCATTTTTTTTGAAACCTAGAAGCCTAATACAGATTTGTGTTGCAAAAACAGCTTTCACTGTTTTAGAACATTCCCAATTGCAAGGAAGTTACCTGTAAAATTGTTGATGTGCTACCACTGGCACAATTTTTTAAATAAAGAATAATTTAAACAAAATAACAATAATAAAGTATAAGACTTACTGTTTTCACAATTACATCAACATTTGTAAAGAGTTCTTGACATCACAAAGAAAAAAAAACAAATCAATGTTCTGCCTTTAAATTTGATCAGAAAAATAAGTCCAAAATATAAAGAGGCATTTTTTTTTTAAGATTTATTTATTTATTCATACAGAACTGGGGTACAGGCCAGAGATGCGGAGGGTGAGAGGATTCACCAGAGACAGAACAG